TGAGGCTAAAATCAAGGCCGGTTTATTTTGGCTGAAGACCTGCAAGGCTTCCTGGCTTTCCAGCAGTATAGATATAATCATCAACTCATACCTAATGAGACACTTTGCAATGTCATGAAGAATGTGCGGTCAAACACGAGTAGAATGACTTGCGACTGCAAAATCCACTGACTTTTCAATGTTTTATTTGCTTTTCTTGTCTGCAACAAGGAGAGGATGCGTGTGAGTTAGAATGTATGGCTATGTGACAGTTGTTTTTGAAGGTATGGATGATTGTTAAATAAGGTATCAGAGCATGCTTAAAAGAGCTGCAAGATTATTTTTGAAGAAATTTTATTTTATTAGATCTAATCCTTATAGTGTGTAAATGTTAGGACATTTAATAATATTTTAAACTGGGATTTCCCAGTGTTTCTAAAAGAAATAATATATCTGTTAACTTTATTGGAATGCTGCTCAGTTCTCTGATCAGTGCTTATGTTACAAATATTGATAACAACTAACCAAAAAGTAGCTGCCTGCAGAGACTTTAAAATGTACATTAAAGATATATGCTGCCCATCAGCAACTCTCCTTAGAAGTTAACTTATTTTATTCTGTATATATTCTAGAAACTGTATAGTACAAAACCAGTATTTTTCTTGTAAATTTGTGCAATGCACTGTTAAAACAGTAGGTGTATAAAGCTATGAGGGGAAGAGGGGGTTCTCCCTATCAGTAGTCACATACATTACTTGCAGTCTGAGTAGTCTGCAGGGTTCAAAGAGTTTGAATGCACATATATGCATCTTCATGACTCAAGCCTAAGGAAGTGGGACTGTATAGAAAAAGAGACTGACTACCAAAACATGCAAACAGGCAATATACAGTTCAGTGTCAAAGTCTGTAGCATTAAACAAACTGGATTCTGTTGAAACCAATAGCTTTTAAAAAAAAAAAAAAAAAAAAAAAAAAAGAAGTCCCATGATTCCTGTGATTTGAAAGGAACACCCAGTATTTTTATATACATCTCCTACCCACTGTGATTTTTTTTTAATGGGCTCTAATTCCAGAGTTTAGAATGTAGAACTGATTCTTAGCTCTGCCTTTTTGGGGGAATTGGACCCCACTAGAAATGTAATTATGCTGAAATGCATTAATTGAAGGCACTGTGCACACTGTTGGACTGCTGACAGTAGTTATGTTATCCTAACAAGCTCTGTAACTGGTCAAGGCACATCCATAATCACTGTATTTTTTTTCCCCCGTCCCTGATAAAATTGAATTATTTTGATGGTTTGTGGTACTGTAGATGGTGTTCTTAATTATTTAATAAGTATTTACTGGGGATGAGTAGTTTTATTTAGTGGTGCATTACACTTTTATTTACATCATCTTCTACCAGCTTTTTTTGTAAAAATAAAAGACATTGTATCTGTCATTTTGTGTATTTTTACAAGCTAGAGTTTAAATACTTTAGCTAAACAGACTAAACACTGACAATAGAGGCCTGGGTGCCCTCAAATGTTTTTTCCTTTTATGTCCTGTCAGTGCAACAGCACTTTTAGGCATTTTCTGAAGCTCTTCAAGAATTTCTCATGCAACTCAAACCTGAATTTATGTACATAATTCCTTATGTTACATCTTTCTCCATTTACAATGACTAGTGGAACCTGCCCTATGGAGCAGAATCATGCCAACCTCACTGACTGTATTTGATATTGCTTTAACTTAGTGAAGCCTTTCCAAAGTTACTCATTCTCAACTACTGCATAAGCTGTCACCCTGTGTTACCTGGTGCCAGGTCTGTGCCAAATCTGAAGCTACGGTAGAGCTGTCTAGAAACAAGCAAAACATCAGACATCTTCTGTAATATGCAGCAAATACAGCACTGACTGACCTAACGCATGCAAAAGAATCTCTTCATGAAAAAGCTGGGCAAGTTCAAGACATCTTTGAAGAATTGGCAGCATGAAGGCTGCTCCTATCCACTTTGCATAATCACGTAGGTCATGAGCAGCTTTCCTTCTTCCTGCTGAGTCTAGGAACCATCACCCATGATATGCAGCATATGCTGTCAGGGACGTGACAGAGTAGTAAAGTCAAAAAGGATACAGAGCTGTACTTTGGCATCAAGCAGTAAAAGTATTAAATATATTTCTGTAAGAGAAACAACACATAGACCTACTGCAGAACTGAGGAATGCTACAGGATGAAGGAAAACTTGTTTAATATTGCTGCCTGCTGCAGTCCATGCAGTAGCTGATGAAAGCAGCGGCAGCTCTTTGCATTTACCTATCACTTGGGGCCTCTAACAACTGCTTGTTTATACCAGTTGTTCTTGCAGCATTCCATATAGTTCAGGTCAGCAAGGCTGCTCTTTATCTTACCAAATGGAAGCAACTGCTGCTTTGACTCTAGTTAGCGGAGATGACACCTAAGTGGTACTAAATTTCCCTTTGGGCTATTACTGATAATAATTGTGTAAAAGCCACCGTATTCACAGCAAGTAATCCTCAAAGCAGTGGTTACAAGGACATAAACATGAGGCACTCAACTGCTCACACTGCTGTGAGTTGCAATATGACTTCATACTGACCTGGCACAGAGCTTAAGTTCTCAATTAATTAATTCCTCAATTCTTCCCCCATTACTCATTAACTCATCTCAGTCAGTCTCCTACACTGCATTCATCAAGAACATTCTACAGCCCTTAGAATGGGGAAGGCAAACAGGAAAACATACTGAAAAACATACTTGGAGAGAAATAGGGTCAGAAATAAAGAGAGACATCCCAGACCACAGTTTCAACTGCAAGCTGAGGTAGACTGTGGGTAGATGGCTCAACTGTGTTCCTCCTGAAGCTAGAGACCTGCTCATTACTGTTAACTACAGGTGAGCGCAAGACACATGCATCTACAGCAAACTACCCAGCTGCAGTTGTTCTTTTCAAGTTGAACAGGGCAAGGGTAGAACTTACTGTAAGTCTGAGAGCTGGTAAAGCAAGGGGTATTTCCCTTTACTGTGACATACATAGAAGCATGAAATTAAAGAGTACCCCATTCTGGGGGCGGTAGATCTACTTGTTCCCAGAATGCCTCATGCTGCTATAATGAGAAAGAATAAAAGAAATTACTTGGCAATGAATTGGTGCTGAGGCATTAAGCCTTAGTTACTGCAGCAAGTTCAAGGGGCATGTTAAAGCAGGAATGCTTTAAATAAAGCAAGATGAGTTAAGCCTACAGAATTAAACACTCATTGCCCCTCTAAATGGGTGTTTGTTGATAAAACAAACCCCAATGTCTGCATACCCTGCTATACACTTAATTTCCATTTAGAGATTCAAGACCACCTGGCACTGAAGATGTTCCACGGCATGGGCTCAAACTTGTTCCCCCTTTAACCTTTAACAGAATAGTCTCAAGTAAGCTCGGTACAGATGTAGGCAAGTTTGCTATAGCGAAGATAAATCAGTCTTTCCAAATAGACTTCCATGAGTTCTACAAAAGAGTCTGTGCATTGTTATGCTCAGTTTCAAAATTCACAGCTTCATTAGCATTCTCAGAAAAGTATGTTTTCCTAACTCCTTGACTACAGGGTAGATTGGGGGGGTGGTGTACTAGCTTATGAATCTGCTCAGATGGTGATGCTGTAGTCCTAGAGGCAGCTTGTAAAGCTTTGCTGAAGTGTGGAGTCCCTGCAGAGGCCACTGCCAGACAGCACCAACAGGCCTCAGAGCATCATCTGGGAGTAACCAGGATGATTCTACTATTACTTTGACACAAGAAGTACAATTCCTAGTTGCAAACCCAACCCCAGAAGGTTAGGGGAGGTTGATCCTTTCCTTGATGGCAGACATGTAAACCATAACTAGATCAAACTCTTCAAGTATAAGCCACTAAGTGCACAACTCTTGTGTATCATCTGCAGGTGCAAGGGAAAGCTAGGCAGATGCAGTATCTTACTCTGAGCCTTTGAAATGTCACTTATCTTGATAACCTTGTGGAAGTAAAGATGGGCAACTCATATACCAAGAGACCAGTGACTCCCTTCCCCAGCAGTTTGAGAGCTGTCCCTGAAGGCACATTAACCACAAGCTGTATGGCTTCAATCTACAAGACAAGAGCACCAGCTTAGCTAAACACAGACCAGCTGTACCAGTAGAAGTGACCTAGTTTTTACACAGCAATTCTCAATCATTTTCTAGTGATGAAGAACAGGTGCAGAAAACTTTCTACACAAAATAGAAGTGTGCACAGTAAGTGAATACTATTAGGTGCTTTGTTCATGAATGATGCTCTACTATAGATATCAATTTAGTTTTAACTTCAAAGTGTTTGATTAGCTTATGGGTAGGAGCAGTAGCAGGCATCCTTTCCCACCTGAGATTCTACAGTCAGCTGCAGCCAAGACCATCACTGATTTGCAACACATTTGTAGGCTATTCCCCTGTGGAAGTACATAAGCTGCAATATGGGCCCCCTGAGCTGGACACAAACCCACATGATCATTTGAACATGCTTTGCAATATTTTTATTTGCATGCTTTCCTAGCTATACCTAAGTACCTTCAACAACACCAACCAAAAAAAAAAAAAAAT